TTTGTGGGCTGCGTGCCTCAAGCCTTCTCACAAGTATTTCATGTTAATCAGCCTTTTGCTTAAAAAAAAAAAAAAAAAAAAAAAAAGACCTACAACATTCATACTGCTCTTGAGCTGATTTTTCTCTTCACAGTGAGGACTTCAGATGGCAACAAAGTCTTTAATTACCAGAGTATTAAATCATTGCACTCAGCAGTGCCAGGGCTTGGTTATAATTTAAGCAGGAGAATGTTTCTAGAAAAAATAAATTAATTGCTCAGTGTGAATACATTATTCTTTTTTCCCCCTCAAGTCTGGCTAAGCAGAATTCCTACCCAAGTCCTCCACCACAGCCCTTTGCAAATCTTCTGTTCCCTTGAGGCTTCTGATTCTGGTTACCTAAAGAGGTTCTCCTCAGCCCTCAGGAGAACTTTCAGAAATGCAGAAATTCAGGACTTGGTATGAAATGTTCCTCCAGTGGCAGACTTTCCTTTCCTTGGAGGCTACCAGTCTAGTACTACAAGTGAGGAATTGAGTTATGCAAGGAATGAGGATAATTTGGTTTCATCCTGTTCCTCTGCCCTGCCATTTTCACAAAGGCATTACATCAGGTCCTGAAGCCAAGGCGATGGGCGTACCACTGACCACAACGTGTTGGTCACTTCTAGCACAGATCTTTGCCCCAGAAGGCTGTGTATTTTGGAAAACATCCTGGCTTCACTTGCTAACCAAAAGTTAAATTTGTCTGCCAGCACCTTTGTCTACAGCACAGATGGGTGCTTACTGCTAGGGGACGCATAAACGCTCGCGTTGTGTTTGCAGGGTAAGTGCTTAACGCAGCGAAAGGTCCAGGCATCTTTCATAATGCCAGCTTAGGCGTCCCTGGGAGAAAGCAGAGGCATAAAAGTCTTAAGAGCTGGGGTGGGTAGTCTGAAGCACTGAGAAGCAGGGAAGCGTTTGAGGAGGAGATGACTGCAGGAACTGAATAGCACCTTTAGGTGCAATTAAGCAAAGTAACAGCAAAGGAAGGTGTCCCACTGTGGCTACAAAGCATGTCTTGCTGCTGAGTTTAGCCTATTTTGAAAGGAAAAGGGAGAAAAGAGAGATGTTTTCTTGCATGCCAGGGTATTGGAGCATCTCCTGTTCCAGTTTGCACCTGCCTGCTCCATATGAAGTGGCTCCAGCAGGCAGAAGTGGAGAGGACATATCAAAAAGAAGTGTTTGCCTGCCCAGCCCCTGCCTTCCATTGTGGAGACAGCAGGTCTGGACTGCCTTCCCCTGCCTGCTTGCACTGCTATAAATGCAGCTCTCTTCTCAATTTCCCCTTACATCCCTCCTCGGCAGCCCTGGGCTCCTCTTAGCTCGTGGGGCAAGAGCTGCAGCTGCTGCCACCTCGCCCAGTGCAGAGCAGCCCCTTTCCTGGGGGTTGAGAGCTGCTGCCCCATGGCCTGGGCTCAGCACCAGCAGGGCAGTGTGGCAGCGTGGGGACAGAGGTGTCTGGTGCAGGGCAGGGGCTGCCCTGGGCACACTTCAGGGAGGCACGAGGGCAGGCACAGTGCTTGGAAAGAGGCAGCATGATCTCCCTCACAAAGCCCTCCTAAACCTGTTTCCGGGGATGCGGGGTGATGATGAGACCAGACGTCAGCTACACACCTGTTGCAGGGTGCCAGGGAAGGCCAAACATTGGCAGAGCATGTCCCAGTGGTGAATGATGCTCACAGCAGTATTGCTGGCCGGGTTAGCTGAGGACAGGAGCAGAAGACAGCAGGACGTGCTCTGCAAGTGCGAGCTGCAGTGCTGTGCTCCAGCCAGAGGAGGAACATGAACTCAGGAATCAGCTGGTTCCCTGTCCTTGCAGCAAATATTTTCCTTGCTTTCCAATAAGCTGCAGCACTTTTTGTCACCTGACTATACAGGTTTATGCAGCTTTATCGGTCCTTTTCTCATGGATAAAACCCTCTGAGGTTTTGCAGCGTCGCCTGCTTTGCCCTTTCCTAGGCAGTCCCTGTTCCGCGGTGCGGCGAGGAAGAGCGCTGAGAAAGAGCAGCAAGAGCAGCGCTGTGTGCTGCTGGAGGAGGCTGCCACAGCTCTGCTGCCACCCTGCAGTGCCTGGGCCAGCTCCCCACACTGCTGCTACCAGCCCCTGCCACATCCCCTCCCTGCCGCTGCTGCTACCTCCTCTTAAAAAAAAATAAATAAATTAAAAAGAAGCAGCATTGGGCCAAGTCTGGCTGTGGGCTGGGAGGTGTTCTGAGCCCTGCTGCCTGCTGCACCGTCTGAATTCGGATTTGCACAACTTGTGGCAGCAGCGTGGAGGAAGGGCGCAAGGCTTGGAGTTGGTGTCCATTAGTACCCTGCACGTTGCTTTTCCTTGTAAGACCCCAGGAAGCGATGACTCCTGAGATCCTGCCATTAAAACGAATGCATTTTTCATTAGTCTGTCACAGCGGGGCCCGTTGACTCTCAGGACCAGGAGCCAAACAAAGCCAGGAGGTGCCCAGCCGTGCCTCACGTAGCCTCGGCGGCATAAACCACCTGTCTCAGGCACCACTTGCCAAAGATGCCTGAGAATCAAACGCCTTGTGTGGGCAGGATCCCGGGAGAGGCTCTTGTGAACCGAAGCCCTTTGCGGTATCCTGCTTGCGTGCGCCGGTGCGCGGGGGGTGAGCGTGGCTGCGGCTGGTTCTCCAGCGGCTCTTGGCCAACAGCATCACAGACTGACTCTGGTGCTTCAGTTTTTCCTGCAGAGCTCCCCCCTCCCCGTGACGCTTTCTGTGCGAGTGAGTGAGCGTGGCTCGTGAAGGAAAAGTACAGAATGTGCTCTGGTAGCGCGCTGACAAAAATTGATCTCTACTTTAATTAAAGCCTCTATTGTAAGTGACCTCAAGCTGCTAATGCATTTTAAAACTGAAGCCTCGCCAGCAGCAGCTCGGCACACCCCGCCAGGAGGGGAGGCGGGGCGGTGAGCCGTGCTGCGGGGCCGCTGCCTCCCTCCGTGCCGGTTCCGTGTCCCCTGGGACGTCCCACCTGATGGGCACACGCCTCCCGCAGCTCCGCTGGCATCCCCGCGTGCCCGGGCGGGAAG